GCATATTCTGTATTTGCTGACTTCCTAAACAAACCTCACTCTCACTATTGTTACTCATGGTTCTTCTTATATTCAAAGCATTTCAAATACACTGTTATACTATTGATTATTTGATACAAATTCCTTCTCATTTGTCATAACTTCTTTCCTTCTAAGACCTTCCCGTGGAGTAATATTCAGCATCTGGATAGAGCTCACGTTTGAGGATTCAGTCCATCTCTGTAACTTCTTTTTGTGCACTTTGCAGTTGATTCTGAGTCTCCTTATTCCGTGAGAAATTTGGCATGTGACACAAATGCCAAATAAAAACATTTTAAGAAACTCCACCCAAACTATTCCTGTAGTCTAGAAGCAGGAATTGCCCTTAGAGCAATTTCTTGGTTTAGAAAATGTTTTGAAGTACATCTTCATATACAGTGTGTGTCCAAAGGACATTTGTGGTCTTTGACCAGTACGTGTCAAACAAATACTGATGAAACTGTATCTGCTATACCTACAAAGAAAGCAAAGATTTTTTTTAAATAAATACTGAAAGTGGAGACTTCCCAGAAATAAGTTCCAAGAATTCATATCACATAATGCCCTCTCTCCTCCATGCCATGACAGGTGAACTGCTGGGTGGGGTACAGGCAATCATCTGTAACCCTTTTATTCCTTCCTTGCCTGACACTGTGTGATAGCACTAACGTAGAACTGTGACACATGACTGTATGCTTTACAATGCCATTACCTCTCCATGGTAAGGTACAACAGTTCTTTATCATTCCTTATGCCTTATATAGCTTTGCCTTTACATTGTGCTTTTCAATCATTCAACCATATGGCTTGGTTGAACTAGCAACTGCTTTATTTGTTTTTCCATCTGGACTCATCTAACCTCTTTTAAAGCACAGCAATGACTTGTATTGCCTGTCTGAGGATCCCATTATATTGTTTTATTTACATGGAGAGACATATCCCAGTATGTGGCCTTTGCCACTTTAATTACTTTTTGTCAGACTTACCACAGACATTGCCACCCATCTTAACACGAACATAGCCATTTATTCCCCATGTAGGCCCCCAAGAGTTCTGTACAATCCAGTAAGGGATACTACCTGGAGGAGACATTTCATGAACAAGAGACAACATGAGATTTGGGAAGCTTAAAAGACTCCTAACACTCTACAGTTAATTACTATTTCAATATCTCATAGTTTCCAATGACTTTATGATCTAGGCCAGTGAAAACTGGCACACAGAGAACAGAGCTAATATCCTAGTGTTGAAAGCCTGGATATCAGCTCTTCTAGTGTAAATATAAATATAGCTGTGTTCTTGACTTTACAAGGACAAAGTCCCACAGAACTGAAGGAGCGGTGACAAAAACAGTTCTTCTGGGATCAGGCTGGATTTCCAGAACTGATGTGACATGAAACCAACCAGCTTTCAACAGATCACCCAGTTCTGGATTTTAATGATGCAACTGGCCTTTTTGTCCAACAGAAGGCAAGTTGCAAGTAAGAGAAAAAACACAAAATTACTGGGTTGAAGTTCAGTTAACGGAAACGCACCTGTTCTGTCAAAACCAGTGACAAGAACAGCATGATTTGCTCTTCCACTGGAGCAGTGATACTGGATGATTCCACCAAGGTAATCCTGCCAGCTAACTGCATCTACTGTTACTGCCAAAGGGCCCCAGTTAACAAGCATCCTCATCATTTCTTCTTCTTGACCACTGTGAAAGAAGTGAGTGATAATGTCAAGTTACTTAAGTTTAGCACACTAAAGTGATCGGAGAGATTGTAATCTATGTGTTAAATCCAATTTAAAAACCAAATAATTAACCTGTTTCATCTGAGTTCTACCTGCCACATAATGTTCATCATTAATTAGGTATTTCACACACTACAATAGAAAGGACATACAGACTATGAGAAAGGTGCAGATCCAAAGATAAAATGCTATTAAAAAGCAGCAGGTTTCTGGGTCAGGTCAGTGGGCAATGGTGAGCAACTACATTTTGTACATCACTCTTCTCAATTAAAAACAGCTCTGGACAAACCGTTAGTCTGTCTTATCATTTCCCATCAGTTTTTCAAACATACAGAAGTACCTCTTATATTATACATAATATACTAAAATATGTGTATCAAACATATCAAAACACAGGATATTTCCACTATCAGACATTTACCATTAACATCCTCATACAGTTTTATTTATCTGACATACTGGAACAGGAAATCCTCATGGTATGTGCAATCACTAAATTTGTCAAATACAAACTGGCAAAAGTGCAATTGATTTTAGTTACTTGTATCTAGCAGTAATGCAATTCCTAGTCAAAATCATATTTCTTGTCTCTAAGTTCAGTATGTAGCTGTATTGTACTGTGAAAAATTAGAAGCAAAGTTTCTTCACACAGGAACCTAAAATGCTACTAGCTGTCTTAACAGAATTCGGTTGACAACACTGTCTCTAAAGTCATGGGCTGGAGAAGGTCATGGATGGGTATGCAAATGGATGAATACCAAAGTAACTGAATACTTCCTAATTTATTCAACAAATTCCAATTACTATTGGTAGGACTTACTGGTTCTGATCATAAAGCAGTGTAAGGTTCACTAAGCATATATTAAAAACTGTAACTGACTCAATGTTGCAGTTTACACATTTAAAACACCTAATTTCAAGACAGATTTAAAGCTTTCTCATTTGAACAGGTTTCGTGATGGCAGTGTTGAGTAGGTTTGTTGTGGCAAGCCTTAACTCTCAAAAAATATTCCATGCTAACCCTTCTCCAGTACACAGCTACAGAACTGATGCAATCAACCTCATAACCTTTGCCTGGTCAATGCACTATTTGCTCTAGCTTACTCCACAAGTGCTGAACACAGAAGAAAAGGACAGCAAATAAAAAGAATCAATAATAGCTACCTGAAGTCATATGCTGCAAATCCTGTTATTGAAACTCCAAAATCTGAGCGATCAAAATAATGGCAGAGTCCAGTCTGAGCTTTAAAAGTATATTCTGAATCTCTCACGAGTTTTACTTTTGTCTGCAAGAAGATAAATGAGTAAGAATTTAATGCATTTGACTTTATCACTATGCAGCTCAAATTGAAAATGACCACAGAACTTATTCAAAAGTCAATGTGTTCTGGATGAGATCAGAAATAAGAATGCCATATTGTGAAATAAGTATTTATTATCTCTAGTTGCCTTGTTCACAGAAAAAGCTTCAGCAGAGATTCGAAGTTCTTAAATAACGAACAAAATTTAAAAGCCAACTCAGGTTTAAACTAGCCTTCTATGCAATCTCATCAATTTCAGGACACAGAGATATTAACTTCATGAATGACTATTCATTCTCTTTGAATGACTTCCACACACAAAATTATCCTCTCCTTGGGACAGTTCAAGAACCACAAATGTCCCCTGTGGGCTGATCTGTTACATTCCCCAAAACATATACAGACCATGAAGTTCCAATCAAGTTTCAATTTTGCTCAAAAAA